GCCTGGATGTATATATACGTCAAATATATTCAAGATAACGTCAGTGAACGTTCACAGCATTGGTAAGGCTTGATAGCACAGTCTCTCTAGTTTTGCTAAGTGGATTAGAGTACAGTGAAGTCCTAAAAAGAGTCGCACCCTTCTAAATCCATGAGAACTCTTTTAGGATTGCACAGGTAGTGACTGAGAAGTACCTTGTCTTTCTTCTATTCTTAGTGAATACTGTCAGTTTCTGATACTGTCTAATTTAATTGTGCTTTCTCTTTGAAGGTTTTTGTTTGTTTGTTTTGCTAGTTTCAGATCAGTCCATAAAGTAGACATTCTTACACACTATCTGGGTTGTCGTCGGCAGAGAGGTCTCAGCTACATGTCACTGTGCTTTCCAAGCAGTGCTACCGCCTCTGGGGAGAAGGCAATTAAGACCAGGTTTCTCAGACTTCTGACATTAGAAGCAGTCTTTGTCTTGCAGTTAAAATTTGAGGCACACTTTGTTTCTTCAAAATATTGTAGACGATGTCTTGAGTGTTCCTCATGGTTATTAGTTTAATCCACCATGTTTGGTGTCTTTAGGTCAGGGCAGGTTAGTCACTGAATAACTAGCTGAAGAGGCAAAACCACATTAAAATGTTATTGTACAGATTCCAGAATCCCTGAAAAGCAAAGTGCTTGGCGCTTATGGTGGACCAAAGGAAGGGGAACTTGTCAACAGATATCCGCCATTGGCTCAGTGTACTGGATTTGGGGGAGGCCCACACATGTGGTGGCTGAAATTGTAATCTGGTTCCCATGGCGATAGTAGCAGCATGAGTTCATTCCGAGATAGTGTGTGCACCACAAGGCGTTAAAGCCTTCTGAACTCAACTTGGCTCTTATGGGCTGGTTTTCACAGCTGAGGGAACATGCCGCACAGCCCACCCTGTTTAGCCTGTTTCTAATCTATCAGTATGCCTGGGTTTTAAAAGATTAAATTGAATATCCAGAATGGTAAAAATTCTTTCCCATGAACTCATTAATCTTGAGATAGTTTGGATGGAAGAAGAAAAAAAGGGGGGGACATTCAAATAATCTGGAATCTGGAGGTTATTCTGAAAAGGTAGTCCATGTCACATCTGTAGCTCTGGGATTCTGTTAATATCATTTGCCTCTGGTGATAGGTAAGAAAGAATCTGAAGCTCCATGACCTAAGAAACCTCGTATCTTTCTCTCCTGATATGTCCCCAGGTGCCAACTGCTGTCTTCTGGTTGCCACCTTCTGGTTATTCTCTCACTTGGTGGTCCACTTGGCATTAACCTTTGAGGCCCTATGTGGCCAGGGACCAGCATACCTGTGGGGCCGTCTCTTCCCTTATGTGCCCCAAAGAGCCTTGCATTCCTCAGACCAGTACCATCTAGTTGTCCCCAGCCCGAAAGATGTCTACCTTGCCTCAACCAGGGCCAGGTGGAAATGGTCCCAATAGATATCAGGGCAGGGTCTGTAGAATGGAGCTGTTCCACCAGGCCTTTGGTTGAGGGGACAGATGTCAAATAACATTGGCCTCCCCTGCCTCAAGTGCTCCACGGCTCCACGGCACTGTTTACATCATGGGTGCCAGGAGTGACAATCCGGCATGGGGGGGGATTGTAAACTGGCCTAAGCCACAAAGGAAAGGCAGAGTATAAATATTTTAATAAATAATAAAAATAAATACATATCTTGATTTTGTACTAGAGCAGGGAAGGTAAGGAAAGGTTAGCAAAGTGTGCTTGCTTGAAAACTCAGCTGGAGTTGGGGGTTCCTCTTTTCTATTGGCTTCCTCTTGTGCTTTCCCAGCAGCTGGATGCAGGCACGATTAGCCTTGTTGGGTCTGAGCATAAAAGGTCCATCTAGCTCAGAATTCTGTTTCCAACAGCAGCCAACAAGTTAGTGAGTAAGGCATTAAGAAGATGGCCACCCTCTGTGTTTCTACCCAGCACTCAGAGGTTCTGTTTAGTTACCATGGCTAACAGCCATTGATAGACCTTGCCTCCATGAACGTATCAATAAGAATTATGTCTGGTTTTTAGGCTGTACAGAAATCAAGCAGGTACAGTTTTCCATACCCTTTGTTTCCATAGAGAAATAGATGAATTGATAGCTTTTAGAATAAACTCTGTACCCACTTACACACACACAAATCTCTCTTTCTCACACTGTATCTTATTTGGCCTATCACCAAAAGACTGCTTTAGATAGGTTCTGAACTCTTCTTTCTTTATGCTTCCATCACTCCCCTATTTGTATTCAATGCCCCCCCAATTGCACCCAAGGCTCTGACCACCCACCTGGATCATTCCAGCACCCTCAGGGGGCAGCATTGCCCACTTTGGGAACCATTGAGGAACTTTTCTGGAGGCTTCTGGTTTATGGTGACACACTGAGCAGACTCATCTCCCGGACCTCCCGGGGATGAAATCTGCGCACCAGCAGAAAGGAGGGGGGGCAACGTCTCGCTATCCCCCCCCCGGAGCCTGGTTGAAAGGCTCCTAGCCATGGGACTTTTGAGAGGTGACCTCTTCGCCAGCGCGATGCTGGGGAATTGAGGTGCTTCTCTGACCTGACGGTCCTCCTGCTGTGTGTCCGTATGGAACTAGTGATGCTGACCGGGACAAGCGCTGGAGATCGAGCGGTTTAAATGGAGCTACAGCAAGGTCACAAGACCGACTATGAACTGTGAGTCGGATTAGAGCGTAATTTACATTTTAAAAGGAAAGCTCCCACCCCAAGGACTAGGAAAGAAAGCGAGCGGGGGAGGGGCCCCTCCCATGCGCATGAATTTAAATGTGAGACCCGAGGGGGGAGCGGAAGCAAAAACGCTGAAATCTGTTGAGAGAGACTTACCAGGGCGTGGATGAGCATATGAGCGTATATTCAGACTTTAGCAAATCTTCAGAAAGTAAACAATCCATAAAGATGGCGGGGAAGAGTTCTGAGAAAGAAAAACTTTTAAAAGTGAAAGTAGATGGGAGCCCTCGTCCCGAAGCAACCATCGAGTTGGCTAAAATGTTGGCAGAATCCCTGCGCCCCCTGCTGGACCAGATGACTAATCTCAAGGAACAGTTGTCAATGATGAACCAAAGCATCACTACTCAGC